CGGACGAGGGGACGAGGGGGAATGGTCTGAAGTTGCGCCAGGGCAGGTTTTGGTTGGACATAAGGAAAAATTTCTCCACAGAAAGGGCTGTCAGGCTCTGGAATGGGCTGCCCAGGGAAGGGGTCAAGTCCCCATCCCTGGAGGTATCTAAAAGCTGGGCAGATGAGGTGCTTAGGTTTAGTGGTGGGATGGCAGGGTTAGGGTAACAGCTGGACTTGATGATCTTAAAGGTCTTTTCCAGCCTAAACGATTCTATGATTCAACTGTTCTTAGTCACTCATCACTTTCCACGGCTGGAGATCCAGATTAACTGCTGTTCCCCCACCAGCAACTCACAGGGTACAGCCCCAATGCTGCCCTGCTCAGAATCACAGGCTGCTCGTCCCGCTCTACAGCGTATTACACGTATAACAGTATGAACGGCAGCAGGGCGAGGGGAAAGAAACAACTGCTACAATAATTGAGAAGAATTTCCAGTCTTGTAGTTGAGCTGCTTTAGATCTTGAAGTTTATGAAGCCTGCTTTTGTTTTTTATTCTTGCAACATGGGTGAATTTGTAGAAATAAAGAGCAGCCTAACCCAAGTTTATGGAGAGTGCAGGCAATGCATTATGGCAGACTGAAGTAATACCTCATATCCAGTGTAAGACTGTGTTGAATATTCAAAATCAGAATCAGGTCCACCCGGGCAGTACCTGGAAATATTAAAAGACAGAAAACAGGCATCAAACTCATACAATTGCAACGACTTAATCTGTCTGAGGTGTGGGTACACAGAGGGTGCAGGCTGAGCAGGCGCTGCTCTAACTACCCCATCTCTCATCAGAAACGCAGGGGAACACAAATTTGAGACAGCCTGACCATAGCAACATGCCAGCTGCTCTCCTGGCATTCCAGAGCTCTCATACAGGCAAAGCCAAATCCACGAAAGGAAAGCCTCATTAGCTCAAGCGCTACGGTACCTTAATGCTGCAATACATTACATGAAGACTGAGAGGGGATCTTATTAACTCTTACAAATATCTCAAGGGTGGATGTCACGAGGACAGAGCTGGCTCTTCCCAGTGGTGCCCAGCGCCAGGACAAGGGGCCATGGGCACAACCTGAAGCAGAAGAGGTTCCAGTTGAACGGGAGGAAGAACTTGTTGACTGTGAGGGTGCCCGAGCCCTGGCCCAGGCTGCCCAGGGGGGCTGTGGAGTCTCCTTCTCTGGAGATCTTCAACCCCCGCCTGGACGCTGTCCTGTGCTCCCTGCTCTGGGTGAGCCTGCTTGGGCAGGGGGGTGGCACTAGGTGAGCTCTGGGGGCCCTGCCAGCCCCGGCCAGGCTGGGATTCTGTAATACAGCTTCTAGACTAAAGCTGGCTCAGGACTGGTCAGCTGAGAGCACGGGATGAATGAATGAATTCCCGTGTTCCTGCGTCACCCGATGTAAATATAGGTACAGACCCAGACACACGTGCTGAAGACAGCAGTTCTGTGGTATCCAGTAGCACTGAGAGGAACTGAGCCTATGTATGTTTACAAACGCTAAGTGGACAGTGCAAAACAGCTGTGTCATTTAATTTTAATAAGAACGGGATGTCAAAAAACAGTTCAGATCTGTCAAACAGCTACATCCACATAAAACAACTTGGGAACACTTACTAGGAGGAAAATGTACTGTGAAAATACTTCTGGAACATGGCGTTATTTTAGGGAGCTGCCATACAGTTTTGGAGTAATAGCTACACATAGATTATTACATTCAAAAAGTAATTTTAAAATAATCCACAATTTAAATATTTTCCACCATTCTATCAAAAACGTAGTCTCATTTGGTGTAAAAAACCAATTTTTCTTTGGCATGGAAAGGCATAAAATGTAGACATCATCCTGTTACACAATCTGTATTTCTCTTCCAGAAATTTATAGAATTTAAATACCTTGATGGTGACAAAGCTCATTTACATTGGTTTTCTGCACTTAGAAACACGCTATTTAATGAACACAGCATTCTAAGACTACTTCAAAAGAATACAGTCCATCTACTCCGGACAACCATATGGCAGGCTGGTACTGAACTACAGTTTCTGCACCTAGAGGCTTGTTTGAAACTCTTATTCCATGACACAGCAAGACAGACTTGCGGCTATCTGGCTGCTAGCCAGGAGAGGAGCGGTGCACGGCAGATAGTAATTAAAAGGAATTTACATTTATTCTGAAGGGTCTTCAGCTTCCTTTTGAGGGCTGTGGGATTAATGATCAACCTACAGTCGTTCTGTGCTCAAAGACGACCTGAGACAGAAGGGCTGACAACCCCTTCCACGTTAGCAGCAGGCGCCGAGCGCCTCCAACAGACAAGGTGACAGAGCAATCAGTGGATCGGCACTTCCAGTGAGCAGATCTCAATCGCACAGGCTAAGATAATGCCGTCTCTATCAAATCAGATGCATTCAGTTCACAGTATAATTGATTAGTTTCCTCACCGCCTGCCCCGCAAACTCAACCCAAGTCGTCTGTCACCATTATAAAATTAATTACCAAATTACCGCAGCCAAATTAATTTGCTGGCAAAAGTTGTGCAATCAAATTGAAGACATTTCATATACGTAATTACCTGGAACAGCTCAAACAGAATAGCTGCTCATGCAAAAACAAGAACAGAGCCAGATCGCTCTGTGTTAGGCAGCTGGTAGTGAAATACACTGATGTTTTGGGAGTGACAAGGCAGGAAAGAGGAGCAAGGTTTTGAAACAGATGAATTGATAAGGTTGGGGAAAAAAAAAAAACCAGACCAGATTTCAGGTGCACAGACTCTTAAGTCAAACAGAGGTAACATACTTCCAGGTAAACCCAGCTAGGGTTTCTCATTTCAAATAAAACTCAGAAGCTATTCCCTTAACGCCACAAGCTCTTGGCAGCTGCAGGCCTTCCCTTCCATCTGTGCTCTCGTTTCATTCCAGAGCCAGGCAGGGCCAGGCTGTCACACCCGGCAAGGCTTTGCAGACATCACCTGCACCTCCTCGGGTGGGTCGCAGTTCAGCAGTTTTCAAACTTTTCAGACTGAGCCCTCTTTCTCTTAACAGTCTTCTCCAACCTCCTTACATACCCAGCCATATGCACAGCACACCTGCACGCCCTGCCACAGTAACCCAACTTACGTTCCATCATTAATATATTCTCCTGATTACTACATTCACAAAAGTGTACATCTACCAAGGTAAGCAGGGTCTGGCCCATGAAAGGAAAAGGTTTTCTCCTTGAAGAAAAACTGAAAACAAGTAGATTTTTTAGCGTAACACGCAGGTATCAGCAATCTGCAACTTTGCACTTGGGCAGAAAAGAAGCCTGTCCCCGAAACAATGCTACTGCAATACTAGATTTATACAGAAATAGTGGAAAACAGTCCTCTTAGGTCATCTAAGCTGCCATACTTACACACATATGTTGCCTGTAAAGTTAATGTGCGGACACCTGTGTGGTTTACACATCACAGCCACGACAGCAATCTGTAAAAAGCAGAGTTACAAAGGAGAGAAATTACAGTAATTGCTTCTGAAGTTACAAAAATAAAGCATATCTTGAAAGGCTATGTATACATGTGCATCTGCGAGAGACTATTTAAAGATGTTTTCTGCTTAGTCTGCCACCTAGAAGATCTGTGTGTTAACTCTTGAAGGAGATAACACTGGATAAACAGATCACAGAATCATATACTCATTTGGTTGGAAAAGACCTTTAAGTTCACCCAGCCCATCCGTACATATCCACCACTAAACCCCATCCCTAAGCACCTCGTCTGCATGGCTCTTAAATCCCTCCAGGGATGGGGGCTCCACCACTTCCCTGGGCAGCCCCTTCCAGGCTTTGGCAGCCCTTTCGGGGAAGGAATTTTTCCCAATATCCAATCTAAACCTCCCCTGGAGCAACTTGAGGCCGTTTCCCCTCGTCCCATTGCCCCCTCCCTGGGAGAAGAGGCGGGTGCCTCACTACACCCTCCTCTCAGGCAGTTGTAGGGAGCGATGAGGGCTCCCCTCAGCCTCCTCTGCTCCAGGCTGAACCCCCCCAG